TGTGGTCCCAGCTACTCAGGGAGGCTGAGGTGGAAGGACCGCTAGAGCCCCAGAAGTCAAGGCTGCAGTGAGCCATGATTGTGCCACTCCACTCCAGCCTGGGTGACAGGGCAAGACCTTATCTCAAAAATAAATTAAAAAAAAATACAAAAATAATTCTTAACAATTCAAAGAACCCAGCAAACTCAGAGCCAGAAAAATATTCTTATGTGCATGTTTCCTCAGGTCTTCTTGTCAGATTAACATTTATTTGGTATCATGTTATCATAAAATTTAGTTCTTGAGAGTTATTTATAATATCTTCTGTGATATAGTGTTTTATTTATTTATTTTCCCCCTTATTAATTTTAATTTTTTTGGTGGGGGGAGAGAGATGGGGTTTCGCCATGTTGGTCAGGCTGGTCTCAAACTCCTGACCTCAGGTGATCCGCCCACCTTGGTCTCCCAAACTTCTGGGATTACAGACATGAGCCACTGCACCTAGTCCTCCCCTCTTAAGTATATATTCATGTGATATTTTCAAAGCTAAAATAATTCATTGTTATGTAATTCTGAACTTCCAAGATGTTTGTTTTTATTGTCCTACAAAAAAATTACATCTACTTTTTATATATTTAATACAGGAATTTAAATTCAAATATATTCTTCAAATTTGTAATAGTTTAAGTCAAAGACTCTGACCTCACTCATTCTCTTTTAATTAACTCAACCAACATAAAATATTGTTTGAATTATCCTAGCATTAGGAAATCTCCTACGTCTTAGCATAGTCTGTACAAATAAAAATAGTGACTATATCTACATTCAGAAAGACTGTCCTGGAAAGAAATAAAATGTAAGAAAAAAACAGTGACTATAGCAAGGTTGTACAACTAAAAATAGCATAGTAGAATCATTTTTTAAATGATTTTTAAAAGGCAGAAGAAGAGAATACCAGCATTTAAATGTCAGTTGGGAGTGGATAAAGCTACAAAGGAAACTTTTGTAACAGAGAGAGAGAGAGAACAATCCAAGAGGTAAGAGGAAAATTAAGAGAATGTTGTCATTGGAGGTAAGAGAAAATGTTTCAAGAAAGAAGAGGTTGTAGGGCCCCGTACGGTGGCTCACACCTGTAATCCCAACACGTTGGGAGCCTGAGGCAAGTGTATCGCCTGAAATAAAGAGTTCAAGAGTAGCCCGGCCAACATAATGAAACCTCATCTCTACTAGAAATAAAAAAGTTAGCCGGGTATCGTGGCAGGCCCCTGTAATTCCAGCTACTTGGGAGGCTAAGGCAGGAGAATCGCTTCAATTTGGGAGGTGTAGGTTGCAGTGAGCTGAGATCATGCCACTGCACTCCAGCCTGAGTGACAGAGACTCTGTCTCAATTAAAAAAAAAAAAAAGAAAGAGAGATTGACGATACTAGATGCCAATGAGATATTAAGATGAGAAATGGGATTTAACAATGTGAAAGCCATTAGTAACCTTAGCGGAAGTTGTTATACAAAGGAGACTGAGCAATGGTTCTCAACCAGGGGTGATTTTGCCCTGCAGGGGTCATTTGGCAATGCCTGAAGACATTATTGGTTGTCACCATTGGGGAGAGAGGACTGCTACTCCTATTAAGTGGATCAGGTCCAGGGGTGGTGCTTAACACCCTAAAATGCACAGGATGGTATCCCACAGAAAAAAAGAATTCCCTGGCCTAAACTGCCAATGGTGCTGAGGTTGAGAAACCCTGCCATAGAGTGATACAGGCAGAAGTGAAGCGCACAGAGGGTTTAGAAGTGAGTAGAGGCAGAGACAGAAACAGCAAGTATAGACAACTTTTAAAAAGTTTGCCTGTAAAGAGGAAGAACTCCGGAGATAGCTAGAAGGGAATGAGGGAATGAAGTGAGAATTGTCTTTCTTTGTCTTAATTGGGAGAAAATTGAGCCTGTTTTCCAAAGTGGCAATTGAGGGAGAGTTTGAATATAGAGAATAAAGATAATCTGTAACTTTAGGCCCCTGAGAAGGTGGGAGGGGACAAAATAAAAGGACCAGAAGAAAATTTAGTCTTAGAGATAATTACACCTATATTGTGAGAGAAGAAAAATAGAAAAATACGGACAGAGATATACTTAGGGTTGTGTGTTAAAAACACGATTTAACGGCTTTTATTTTTCGCTATACAGTAGTCCCCCTTTTCGACAGTTTCAGTTTCCCTGGATTCGGTTCCCATCATCAACCATGGTCCAAAAATATTAAATGGAAAATCCCAGAAATAATTCATAGGTTTTAAATTGCATGCCATCTTGAGCAGCATAATGAAATCTCAGTGCTGCCCCATTTGCTACACGAATCATCCCTTCATTCAGTGTAGGCACGCTAAAGACGCTACCTGCATCGTAGGTTTCAGACATCCACTGGGGGTCTTGGAACGTATCCCTGGAGGATAAGGGGTTGCTAATGCTGAAAAAAAAAGGAGTCAAGAATATCTTCGGAGAATCATAGGAATGAGAAGAAGAAGGTTTGGAATAATTATAAAAAGTGGAAGAAAAGTTGACTGAGAGTAGGTATAGGCTTACTGTACAATGTTAAAGACAATTTGAAATTGCTTTAATTTTTTATGTATGAAATTAATATGCCCTATTGCAGAAGTCTCTATAGCAGTGCTTGGTTGCTCAGGCACTGATGCAGAGAAGGCAGATAGTTTGGCTTATCCATGGTTGCAGTCTTCCTCAGCAGATGCCATAATAAAGACAGAAGTGGGCAGGAGATTAGAGTAATGGCAAAAGTATTATTAAAAATATATCATGGAATCTTCACTGGGCAAGAAGAGATGTAGATAAGGGAGACAGGTGAATTGGAAGAATGTATAAATTAATGAACATATATCGAATGTTTTTTCCAAGGCAAAATGTGAATATGCTAGTGGCTGCAATCCATGTTACAAGTGTGCAAACTGAAATACAGAGCAGTTAAATGAACTGTCCCAACACTAATAACAGGGTACTCAGGATACAAGCAGGACAAGCTTTGATTATCACCGGTACAAGTGTTGTGCAAGATGGGTCTCTTTGTGGTGGCCATCTGAGGTTCACCAGAGCTCGGGATGAATTTCGCAATATCACATTATAAAGGTTAAGAAATACACAAACTCAAGGGGTCAGCAACAAAACAATTCACAGGTCCTTTGATTCGCCCACTGTTCCCAGGAAGCAGTATGCAGGGGCCAGGATCATCTGATGGAGACTCAGTCTAGTGTTGCAGGGAAGAGGCTCCCCCCTACTGCTATTCTTTCCTGCATTTCCTTGCAGAGCAAGTAACTTTATCAGAAGAAATAATCAGACAACTTGAATGTTAGGCAGTCTGGGTTGGCAGTTAACTAGTTGGAGGAGGCAACTGAAAGCCCGCTGTACAGCACCCAAGAACAATGGGGACCATGGGAAGTTGTAGCTCCTACAAGACGGTGAAATAATGCCATCAGTTTTCTAGGAAATTGAGTTCAAACATGGCTTCTCCCACCAGTTGAAGAATAATTCCTTGTTCTAGGTAGTCTATTGGTTCAGAGTGAGCTACGGGAGACACTTTCAGACAATGTCACTCCTTGTTATAAAATTTTGTATATTGTTCAATAAATTACATTTAGAATAGCTTGTTGTATGTATATTTTAGCAGATGTCTCTCTTTTTATTTCTTCATCATCCTGTGTGGTTTTTAAAGAAAATGAAGAAACAGAGGATATGGCTTCAAAGTGAAGCGAATTCTTATGAAACAAACCATAATGTTGTTGGCACTTACCAACTAAAACGGTTTAAGTTTAACTTACAGAGAATATTTCTAAATGCGACTTCTGATACATAAGAAAAATAGTATATATAAATACCTACATTCCAAAATGGTGGCATGTTCCATGAGGGTTTTTTTTTCCTTTTATAACAAAGATGGGGGGGTGGGCAAATAGAAAACAAAGTAAAGAAAACAGAAAGGAGAAAATGTCCAATAGAGATTTTTTTCCCCTTAATTGGCTTAGAGTTAAAGAATAAAATAACAGGAGACCTATGGCAAAGACACAGAAAATATAACTACTGCTGGAAGAGATGAAATTTCTAAGGTCCCAAAATTTCTATTATGTTGTGAAAAGTCAAACCAAACAAAAAGCTGGACTTGACAGAGAAAGCTACCAACTAGTCTTTGTCTGTGGCGTTTTTTGTTTAAAGGATACTCTAAAGCTACCTAAAAATATGCAATATCGAAATTAATGGGCAACTTGCCTTTTCGTATAGAATTCAATAGTCAACAGAATTTCAGAATACGAATGTTCTTCAGGGAGATGCCATGAGAGAAAGAAAAGAGTCATCAGGTTGATCATAGAGCAAATGCGTCCCCTGAAAGTTAAAGGTCATGCTTTGCCTCCAAAAAAATAAACATCAAGGAGAAAGAGGTAAAAAAAAAAATACAGGGAATGCAAAAGAAAAGAAGCCCTCCTTCTCTGACATAAGAGAGAGAGACAGCTTAGGTCACACAAAGTTATAGGTTTTAGAATTGTTAAAGTATCCAGGTGAATTGGCTATCTAATGGCCTGCAGATCTGAGAAAAGTAGGAAGTAAGGAATCCCAAAAATGGAAGCACGTGAGGCACAATGGCATGCCCAGTGCTTCTCAAACTTGAATGTACTTCCAAATCACCTGGAGAGACTGTTAACATGCACACGCTGATTCAGCAAGTCTAGCATTAGGCCTGAGATTCTGCATTTCTAACAAGTTCCCTGATGACACCAATGCTGCTGGTCCTCGGGTCACACTTTGAACAGTGAAGTACTGATGACTCCTGACAACATAGCATCCACTGAACCCAAATAGCAAGTCTCCACATATTTGTTCAGCCATAGAAACATACAGACCTATACAAGATTAGAATACTGGTGGCATGGGAAAACAGAGTTTGCTATCTTTACCTATGAGTCATTCCATTAATTTTTGCTCATGTCAATCAAACCTATTAACACTGTCATAGGAATATCTGTGCTATTTTTCAGATAGTCCAAGAAGCACTAATGAAGCAGTACATGTTCATCTGGCAATATATCATGAAAATACACCAGGAGATTACTATAAAATGCAGTGGTATATATTTTACATAGGTAACATGTGGAAACTTCACAGTTGTGAATCTGTGAACTTGCTTGAGCAGAATGTCTCATTTGAGTCTCAGGTAAAGCACATACCTTGTAAGTTTCTTCTTCCCTGCCCACTTGTACTCTGTCCAGCAGGGAGAACTAAAGATATGTGATCAGCAGATGAGGACCATGTCTAGGATACCTTTAAAAATCTACAATTAACCTGTTTTCCTGTGTTTCACATTGGGGTAACATACCTCAGCCTACTAAATAGGAACTGTCTCTTTCCTAAACCCCAGACCTAATTCCCGCTGTTCCTCCAACTACTCCAGGCCTGATTTGTGTTCCAATTCTGCAACTAAGGTTAGAACCTGGTGGAGAGTCCTAGACAATACGATGGAGAATCCTAGACAATATGATTTCTGGGACCCAGGTATTTTGCCTGCTGGCAGGAATGTAAACTAGTACAACCACTGTGGAAAACAGTATGAAGATTCCTTAAAGGACTAGATGTAGAACTACCATTTGATCCAGCAATCCCACTTCTTGGTATTTACCCAGAGGAAAAGAAGTCATTATACGAAAAGGATATTTGCACGTGTGCTTATAGCAGCACAATTTGCAATTGCAAAAACATGGAACCAGCCCAAATGCCCATCAACCAATGAGTGGATAAAGAAAGTGTGATTGAGATATATACATATACATAGTGGTGTGTGTGTGTGTATATGTATACCATGGAATACTACTCAACCATAAAAGGGAACAAAAAAATGGCATTGACAGCAATCTGGATGGAGTTGGAGATCATTATTCTAAGTGAAGTAATGCAGGAAAGGAAAACCGAACATTGTATGTTCTTACTTACAAGTGGGAGCTAAGCTATGAGGATACAAAGGTGCAAGAATGATACAATGGACTTTGAGGACTTGAGGGGAAGTGTGGGAGGGCAGTGAGGGGTAAAAGACTACACACCGGGTACAGTGTACACTGCTTGGGTGACTGGTTCACCAAAATCTCAGAAATCATCACTAGAAAAGTTATCCATGTGACCAAAACAACCTGTTCCTTCCAAACTATTGAAATATAATAAATTAAATTAAATTAAATTAAAAAGCAAGTACAATGCATTAATGGTCTAAAGATCAGAACTCTCTCCTACATTTTTGGTTCCCATGTGGGTCCCCCAGGATTCCTGTAACTTCTTTGGGAGAGGAAGACTTGCTGGGAGTCTCAACATCCCCAAAGCCTTTTCTCATCCCATGATTACTTACATCACTGAATGAGGGCAAGTCAGTGAGGGCACACCAGTGCTTCCTCGATATTCTGCCCAGCAAGCAGTTATCTCATGGATTAGGTTGCCCAAAAGCCCTTCAAGTCTTCCTAAAATTCAGTATCATCAGCACTGTGTTTAGCACAAATTCCTATAATTTCTGAAGTATGGCTAGTACCTCATCGTACATTCTACTGATGATGTACATTTTCTCTTATTTATGCATTTTCTATTAGAGATAATTGTATTGATACAAAAGGAAGGCTCTGAGAGTGGCTGGCCTACACAGCCAGTTGGTGGCTCAGCATGATCTATAGTCCTCTTTCCTGATATGTACCCTAGTGATCCTTTAATGTCACTGTGCCTTCTAAACAGTACAGAACTATGAATGCAAGAATGTTGCTTGACATTTTGATTTTAGTTTTATTATTAAGATATGACATGAGAGAATTAGAAAGTATCTCAAATTTTTATGACTTTTTAAATTTTATTTTATAACATAAAAATTAATTTATAATATCAAAAGCCTTGAGAAGGAAAGAGATAAGTCAAGGGCCAGGTGCAAGGGCTCACCTGGCAGGTGGATCACCTGAGGTCAGGAGTTTGAAACCAGCCTGACCAACACGGCAAAACCCCGTCTCTAGTAAGAAACAAACAAACAAAGAATAACCAGGCATGGTGGCAGATGCCTGTAATCCTAGATGCAGGGGAGGCTGAGGCAGGACAATCAGTTCAACCTGGGAGGTGGAAGTTGCAGTGAGCTGAGGTCATACCATGGCACTCCAGCCTGGGCAAAAGAGCAAGACTCTGTCTCAAAAAAAAAAGAAAGGAGATAAGTCAAGATGGATCCTACAGGATAGATTAAATAAAAATGGCATGATTTACAAAATCAGTTCAGACAATTTTGAACTGGTTCTGAATTTAATGTATATTTCATACATTTGCACTTTAAAATACCATTATTATCAAATTTAAGCCTTATATCTTTTAAAAATGTAACTTTATTATGTTTGAATCTCTATATAAATTATTTCCAGTAAAATACTTTTTAAACATAGAAAATAACATATTAGTATTTTTCTATGTAATCAATGAAGTAATCATTTACCTTGACAGAATACATATTCTATGTTTGGAATAAACTTTCCAAAGTGCTGATTAATTTAATTTAATATTCTGTTGAGTTTTTGCTATGTTGCATTTACGATATACAAAACCTTTACCACTGTGTAAGCAGGAAAATGACTCCCACAGTCACCGTAAATTGAGAAGAGGGCTTTTTTTAAACCTTAGGTAGTCAAAATAGACTGGCCTTTGTAGTTATGCCACTGACCTTTCCCCTAAGTTTACTTGATTGGCAGTGAAATAGTTTTGTCAAGTGCTCTGGGAAGTTAGGTTGCGTTGGTCATCAAACTGAGAATCTATACAGGTATCACTCATAGATTATACTTCATCTATTTTTATTTTTACATAATGTACTATGTGATGACCTGTATGAAATAATGACCTACTTTGAGGGAATAGTCAAAGTATTTTTATTTTCCAATTCAGGCTTTAATTACTGTTTAGCCACGTACCCTCAGACAATCTATCAACTTAACTCTTAAGAGGTGGATAATGCATGAGTCTATATAGCTTTGAAAAGAGAAAGCAATCTATGATGACATGGAGTACATGAGAGAGGGCAATCCTTTCTTAATACCAAATTCTACTTTCAATTCAACAATACTTTGTCAAATGTCATAACTGTTCACTTTTGCACTATTTGTAGAACTCAAATGTTTTCATATTTATACTTCACAGTCAATTAATATGGAAGTTACTGAGTTGTTTGTTTGTTTGTTTGTTTTTGAGATGGAGTTTTGCTAGTGTTACGCAGGCTGGAGTGCAATGGTGTGATCTCGGCTCACCGCAACCTCCACCTCCTGGATTCAGGCAATTCTCCTGCCTCAGCCTCCTGAGTAGCTAGGATTACAGGTACGTGCCACCATGCCCAGCTAATTTTTTGTACTTTTTAGTAGAGACGGGGTTTCACCATGTTGACCAGGATGGTCTTGATCTCTTGACCTCGTGATCCACCCGCCTCGGCCTCCCAAAGTGCTGGGATTACAGGCGTGAGCCACCACACCCGGCCCCGAAGTTACTGAGTTTGATGTACTCTATCTTGGGAAAAGGAGAGGGAAGAAAGGGCAAGTGATATACTGTTCTTGGATTCCTTCCCAAGATGTTATTATTTTCTAAACAACAGGTATATGTTCTAGGTACTGGGGATTCCAGAGAAAAGATATTATTTTCCTCTCAATAAGCTCACTCACTGGTAGGACATATATTTAATTGTTAGGTCAGGATACCTGACATATTCTTAGGAATTCTTCCACTCTAAGAGTTTTGTTTTGAGAGATTTGTTTTCCACCCTTCTAAGCTGGGTAAAAGACACACAAAACCAGCTATCAAATCAATTCCTTTTCAAAACTGAGAATAAAAAACCTAACCAAAGTTAATGAGAAGAGGTCTGCTTTTGAAAAGACAGTAAATGCATCATGGTTAACACCATACTAACCATAAATTTACCATGCTGCTATGAGATATAGCAAATTCAAGTCCCTTATCCTTTCCGATGGTCCTTTGACAGGAAAAGAAAATGTGTATTCTTCGGAAACTAAAGTGGCCGAGCACTGTGGCTCACACCTGTATTCCCAGCACTTTCGGAGGCCCAGGCGGGCATATCGTTTGAGGTCAGGAGTTCAAGACCAACCTGGCCAACATGGTGAAACCCCATCTCTACTAAAAATAGAAAAATTAACCAGGCATGGTGGTACACACCTGTAGCCCAGCTAATTGGGAGGCTGAGGCAGGAGAATTGCTTGAACCAGGGAGGTGGAGGTTGCAGTGAGCTGAGATCATGCCACTGCATTCCAGTCTGGGCAACACAGTGAGTCTCACAAAAAAAAAAAAAGTAAAACATAAAAAATGAAAAACAATCATCTCGATGCAGAAAAAGCTCTTGACAAAATTCGACATCCTTTATGATACAAACACTCAGCAAACTAGGATAGAAGAAAAATACCTCAACATAATAAAAGCCATATGTAAAAAAATCTACAGCAAACATCATACACAATAGTGAAGGGCTGAAAGCTTTTCTTCTAAGGTCAGGAACAAGGCAAGGATATCCACTTTCACCACTTCTAGTCAACATACTGGAAGTCCTGGCCAGAGCAATTGATCAATTCAAAGAAATAAAAGGAAGAAGTAAAATTTTCTCTGTTCACAGATATGATATGTAGAAAACTCTAAAGATACCATACACCAAAAAACTTAGAATAAATGAATTCAGCAAAGCAGCAGGATACAGTCAATGCAAAAAATCAGTTGCATCTTGATACACTAATAACGAACAATACAAAGAGAAATTAAGAAAACAATTCTGTTTAAAATAGCATTTAAAAACTTAGGAATTAACTAAACTGAGAAAGTAAGAGATGTGTACACTGAAAACTATAAAACATTGGTAAATAAAGAAAGACATAAATAAATGAAAAAACATCCCATGTTCATGGATTAGAAGACTTAATATTGTCAAAATGTCAATACTACCCAAAGTGATCTACAGATCCAATGCAATCCCTATGAAAATCCCGGTGACCTTTTTTTTTTTTTAACAGAAACAGAAAAATCAGTTTTAATATTCATAAGGAATCTTAAGGGACCCTGAAGGGGTAAAACAATCTTGAAAAGGAAAATTGGAGGACTCGCATTTCCTGATTTTAAAACTCACTATAATTGAAACAGTGCAGTACAGGCATAAAGACAGATAAATAGACAAATAAAATAGAATAGAGAGCTCAGAAATAAACCCCAGTATGTATAGTCAATGTTTTCTTACAATAATACTAAGACCATTCAGTGGGGAAAGGACAGTCTTTTCAACAAATAGTGCTGGAAAAACTGAAACAGGCAAAAGAATGAAAATGGACTATTACCTAAACCCATATACAAAAATTAATTCAAAATGAATCAAAGACCTAACAAAAGAGTTAAAACTATAAAATTGTCAGAAGAAAATATAGTACAAAATCTTCATGCTATTGAATTTGGCAACGAATATGACACCAAAGACACAGGCGAAAAGCAAAGAGATAAATTGAATTTCATTAAAATGTCAAACTTTTGTGCATCCAAGGACATTATCAGTAGCATGAAAAGACAGCCTACAGAATGGGAGAAAATATTTTAAAATCATATATCTGATAAGGGATTTATATCTAGAATATGTAATGAACTAATCTAAAACTCAACAACAGAAAAACAATTCAAAAATGAGCAAAAGACTTAAATAGACATGTCTCCAAAAGATATACAAATGGTCAGTAAGCATATAAAAAAATTGTTCAACATCACTACATATTAGGGAAATGCAAATCAAAAACACAATGAGATACCATCTCACATCTACCAGGATGGCTACTATAAAAAAACAAAAAATAGAAAATAAGTGTTGGTAAGGATATTGAGAAATTGAAATCTTTGTGCACCATTGATGGGAATATAAAATGTTACAACCACTGTGGAACACCTTATGGTGGTTCCTCAAACCGTTAAAAATAGAATTACTATGTGATCCAGCAATTCTACTTCTGGAAGAATTGAAAGTATGGTCTCGGGGTCCAAAGTGGCTCCCGCCGGAGGTCATGGCGCTCGCGAAGGCGAGGTCATCAGTTCAAGGCTAACCTGAGCAACCTCATAAGCTCAAACTGATTGGCAAAAAAAAAAAAAAAAAGAAAGTATGGTCTCAAAGAGATCACTGCATACCCATGGATATGGTTTAGCTGTGTCTCCACCCAGATCTCATCTTGAATTTCCACATGTTGTGGGAGGAACCCAGTGGGTGGTAATTGAATCATGGGGGCAGTCTTTCCCTGCTGTTCTTGTGTTAGTGAATAGGTCTCACAAGATCTGATGGTTCCATAAGGAAAGATCACCACCGGAAAAAAAAAAAGCTGCTTGAGTATCCTCCTGTCATACATTCACAGCATTCCATACATTGTTTTGGCTAATTTATCAACGATTAGAAATTTTTAAAGGACTTTTTCTATGCAAACTCTAAGAGCTCAAGTTTTGTTTTGAATAGAAATGCAGCTATATTTACCTCTATTTATGTACATCTCAATACATTTTCTAATAAATGTTTATTGTATACTGACTAATCCTCATTTCATTCTTAGGTTCTGCCTTTCCTCTGTTTTCTAATTGGACTGAAACATTGGGCTCTGACTTTGCTCTCTGAATTCACTTTTATATCCCCTCTTCACAAAGTAAAAAACTTTCTGAAACCTTTGGTCTCTGCCATGCACTGGGAACCTCTCTTCATCTGCTTTGTCTGACTACCAACTTTAACCCAGCAAGGACAACTAAATGTAACCTCTTCTTTTAAAAAAAACTATTATTAAAAGTCTACCATATGTTAAGTGCTATAATAGATGCTTCAAATGCTTTCTTTTTTTCACCTAATATTCATGCCAAACCTGCAAGTGAGGTCTTGTTCTATTTTATGGGTGAATCAACTGTGATTTAGAGTGATTAAAACTAATCCAAGGTTTGTTTGCCTCTGAAGTCTGTTTTCTATTTCATTTTTAAAAAACTCTCTCCGATTTTCCATACCTCTATATCATCATATTCAAGTCTTCCACTTCTCCAATTTCAACTCTATTTCTTTTCCCACCTTCCCTTTTGCTTCTCACTGGCTATATCTGGATATTTCAAAAGTACAGAATAAATTGTTCAATTTAGAAGGGATTCTGAAAACACGACTCTGAATTTTACCAAATAAAATTATGACATTATAATAATGGTGCACCATAAAATAAAGTGCACAGAAAATGCCAAAGAATATCAAAACCAAATATAAGGCAGCCCCATCCATTTCAGATCCACAAGGTCACAGGATTACCACCTAATTATAAATAATACCCCCAAATAACTCTTTTCCTTTCAGAAAGCATATGCACATACACCCAAACCTGGAGAAAGTCTTCTGATCACAGCCCTCCTCCCACTCCCCAAGTGCATTAACATCAATGTGTTAGAAAGCACTAGAGTCACTGCCAAATAGTTGAGGTTATCCATCAGATGTTTTTCAATGAGAGCCTTCTCCTGACAACTACAGCATGAGATTATTGTGTATATATAGATCACTGTCATGCACAGGACAGGCACAGGACAAATGTGCATTAAAATGAGGGCTGCACATGGCACCACTGTAGCCCTAGACTGCAAATTCATTGTCATTCCAAGAACTTCACAAATAGTACAATATTGTGACTACTCTTTTTTTTTTTAAAAAGACACTATGTAGCTTGTAAAATCAATCTTAGAGGCACATCATACTAATCATGGTTCCATTACTTAACAGTCTTCATTTTCATTCAAAATATGAAATTTCCAAGATTAAGATCATTTGGATTTAAAATTCAAGCATTTGTGTGAGAATAAATCACTACTAAAGGAATTAATGCCATCGATCCCTTTTACTCCTTATATCTAGTTGCAAGATTGGGCATTAAAGTGAGAGTTTTGCTGGAGGAAGGACAGCAGAAAAGGCCAATTTTGGAGCCCTGGAGAACAGTGATCAACAGTAGGGCAGTGTAATGAGAGAGACTGAAAGTGGGAAGAAGCGTGGAAAGGGAGAACTTGAAGACAAACATAAACGTGAACTGTTTTCACAACATGATCAGGGCCTCACTCTGCTAACTTTTGTATGTACACTAGTACTTAGTGTATACAAGGCACCGTTCTAAGCCCTCATTTACTTAACAATAAATACTACTTTCATCCCCATTTTATAATTGCAAAAACCAAAGCCCAAAGAGGTTGAGTACTATCTAAAACTTCACAGCTAGTTAGTGGCAGAGCTGGGATTCAACACCAGGCACCACTTCATAAATCATGAATTATGATTTCACACATCATGCAATCTAAAACAATCACTTTCAATCTTGTTTTTAACCATAATCCTTCCAGTAAGAATACATGAATCAGTACAAAACAGAAGTAACAGAAACATAAGTTTTGTGACATAATACTTTTACCAAATGTAATGCATTTGGATCTTTTCTATTTTATTTTTTAAATTGCAGGTTACAATTAATAAATTGATTTTTAAGCTCACCAATGGGTCACAGCTCACAACTTGAAAACCACTACTTCGGACACCAGAGCTACAAATACTAACTCAGTATCGCCACTAGAATGTTTAAAAGTCATCTCAAACTTAGCATGTCTACAGCCTCCTGATTTTCACCTTCCAATCCTATTCTTCGTCTTTTTCTTCCTTTCTCAGTAAATGGCAACTTCTGCACTTGCATTATCAGTATGTAAGCCACCAGCCAAGTGAAGTTATTCAACACTTGAAATACAGCTGTCAGAATTAAGTCATGCTGTTAGTATAAAACACACATCAGATTTTGAAGAATTAGTATGGAAAAAGAATGTAAAATATCTCATTAATAAATTTTTTTACCAGGCCTGCTGGCTCACACCTGTATTCCCAGCACTTTTGGAGGCCAAGGTGGGAGGACCACTTGAGCCCAGGAGTTGGAGAACAGCCTGGGATATATAGTGAATCCTCATCTCTACCAAAAAAAAAAAAAAAAAAGCCAGGTATTGTGGCAAGTGCCTATAGTCCCAGCTACTGGGGATGGATGAGGGGGGCTGATGGAGGAAGTTGAGGCTGCAGTGAGCTGTGATTGTGCCACTGCACTCCAGCCTGGGCAACAATGAGACCCTGTCTCAAATGAAATAAAATAACTTTGTCTATTGGTTATATGTTGAAATGATGTCTTGGATATATTGAGTTAAGCAAATTATATCGCTAAAATTAATTTCACCTTTTTCAAAAAAAATGTTTTTTTTTTGAGACAGTCTCGCTCTGTCACCCAGGCTGGAGTACAGTGATGCGATCTGGGTTCACTGCAATTTCTGCCTCCCGGGTTGAAGTGAGTCTTCTGTCTCAACCTCCAGGGTAGATGGGACTACAGATGTGCGCCACCATGCACAGCTAATTGTTGTATTTAAAAAACTTTTTTAAATGTGGTACTTGCAATTTTTAAGTGACCTATGTGGCACTTAATATTTCTATCGAACAGTGCTTTCTGGTCCCTCAGGCCAAAAGCCTTGGAATCGTCCTTGACCCCTTTCTCCACTAGCAAATGCTGTAGGTTCTACCTTCATAACAGTCCAGAATTCAACAACTTCTCACCACTTTCATTGCTATAGCACATCCCACCCACACAAACACACAAAACACATGCAAATCACTTTCTCTTGCTTGGATAACTAAAATAGCTTGCTAACTGGTTTACTTGCTTCCTTCCTTGCACCACTCTACAGTGTATTCAACCATTTCCCAAAGTTGCAGAGCAATCCTTTTAAAAGGTCAATCAGATTATGTCACTCCTCTGTTCAAAATCTCTATGGCTCCTTTTTTCCAAAGTTTAAAAGCCCAAGTCCTTGCAATTGCCTACAAAGCCTTATAAGTTCTGGTCACCCATCTGTGCTCCCGAGCCCCTCTCCTGCCCCATCTGTCTGTCCTAATCTCTTACCACTGACTTCTTCACTCAGCTATGGTGACTTTCTTCGGTTCACCAAGTATGCTCCTGACTCATGGCCTTTGCACTTCCTGTACCTCTCTCTACATGTAACCTACCTCGGACATCTTCTTCCTTCTTTCTCTCAGTTTGGCATCACTTTACTGAACATTGTATTTAGAAATGTAAACCTCTCTCTGCTTACTCTTCCACACTTCCCCCTTCCTATTACATATAGGATATAAAATATCCTTCCTATTATTTGGGATATTATCATCTATCCTTCCTATTATTTAGGATATATTATATCCTGTATAGTTTATTTAATTTATCTTTCTCTCACGAATAAAATGTAGGAGTTCCTTGAGGGCAGTGACTATTTTACTGTTGGATTCCCAGGACCTCATGTGCTTGGCAAATAATAGAGGCCAGAAAATGAGCTGTGGGTTCCCAAAGTCAGTTATGGACCATTTGCAACTAGCCATTCTCAGAAATCTACAGAAACAAACGTTTCAGTATGTTTTTTTTTTTTTTTTTTAACCTATATCCTCTTTGGACCTACACTCATACCACAATAAAGAATGCAAGAATCTTCTCCACACCCCCACAAGGCTTAGTTAACCAAATCTTCGGTTCATTTTCTCATGACCATTAGGAGCCCTCCAAAATCCCTGGAAGATGGGTTTTCCTTTACCCTCAGGCATTAAATCTCCTCAAGCGTCTGCAAAAAGTCCTGAGTTACTGGCCTAACATAGTGCAGCTTAATCTCAGACGATCTCCAGGTCTATTTAGTGAACACTGGGTACACCCGGACACCGTTAAGTATCAGTGGTGTTTGCACTCTCGGTGGTTTGCAGACTGGCCACACCTTACCTACAGTGTCTGTATCAGGAACACGTGTCCTGTCTGTTAGCACTAGAAATTATGGACACGTGTTGGATGGAATGTCAATGGTGTAGCCAGGTCTCTTATTTTCCACACTTAGAAGTCAGGGCTCTGAGAACTCAGGCCAAGTAAAAAATATTAAAACGGAGAAACAAAACATGCGGTGGTACAAAAGGCACTGGAAGCTGGGTCATTTGCCCCTCACCATTCAGCCCTTCCCACCAAAAGATCCTACTGCGCAGCTCAACGTAGCTCGCAGTCTAGTATCGCAGGATTTTAATGTGCAACAATTCGCAAGCTGTTCAAGGCAGACTGCGCCTCGGCCGCTGCACCTTCCCGGTGACGAGGAGAAATAGCGGCTCCGGTCTCGGCCTCAGCCTCCTCCAGTTCCCCGGGCCCGGAGCCGACTGACACGGTGCGGTGCCCACTCTCTCGCGAGACCAGCGGTCGGGGCGAGCGGAGCGAACCTCCCGGAAGTGGGCCAGCGGACGGTCCGCTCCCACCTGGGGCGAGTGTGCGCAAGGCCTGGTGGGGTCCTGGGTGTGCCCCGGATCCTGCGCGAGGCTGAGTCGCCAAGACGCTGCCTGTTCCTCACGCAGCCGCCTCGGGCCTGCCCCGGCCGCCGCCGCCCCTCCCTTTGCCCTTCACGGCGTCCGGCCCTCCCTCGGCTGCGGCTTCTGTGCGCCGCTGTGTAGCCAGTCTTTCCCCTTCTCCTTCTCCCGGTCCCCTCCCCCGACCCCAGCACTGGAGTCGCGGGTCCCGCAGTGCCCAAGAAGCCGCACGTCTAACTTGCTCGGCGTAAGTGCTAGGAATGCCGCTGGCCTCGCGGGGAAACGCATTCTTTCTATCTATAGCTCTCTCTGTACATCTTCTTCTACGGCAGCTATTCCAGGGGCAACAACTGCTTCCCTCTGTTCTCATCTCCCCATTGGTGGCTGGCGACCCGAATTTGGGAATGTGGAGATCGCCCACCTGTTATCTTTGAGCAGACTAATCTCTTGTAAGCTGAAGTGCCATTCGGAGTCTACAGAGCCCTGTGGCTTGGGGCTGGGAATGTCCCCCTGACGTCAGGCTTTCGTGAATGTATTGCTTTTCTCTGAGAATGCTCTAGGTTTTTAATTTTTTAATTGTACGAATCTATAACACAACATTTTTATTTCTGTCTTACTCGTTGTGCTCAAAGGCAGGAAACAACTATTAATTTGCGTCCTCGAATCTTATTTGTGATAAGATTCATTCTCTTTCATTGCTCTGCTAGGGATAAAACACACTTCGAACATGTAAGTGCCGCTGTCAGCGCTGGAGAGTTTCAGGCAATAGTTATTTTCGATATCTTAATTCCTTTTTGTTTCACAGGGATAACTCATTCAACTGTGGAGTTCTTTTAATTCTTCTGAAAGGTTTCAAATTCTCTAGAAGCCAAAATGGGGCACAGTAAACAGATTCGAATTTTACTTCTGAACGAAATGGAGAAGCTGGAAAAGACCCTCTTCAGACTTGAACAAGGTCAGTAGCAAGTTGTCTGGCTCATTTGTCTTTTAAACTTTTAAATCACTGGCAGTCCTGTCAAATTTTTTAAAGCTCTAAGATAAATGTTATTTACAAGGATCTTTCTAAAACTTGATTTGTGCAAAGATGGTCCTGTGTTGTCTATATATCATTAATAAATGTTGATTTGATTTAAATATATTTCATATCCCTCATGTTAGGATAAAGATAAAATAGTTCACTTTTCTCCGCATACGAATTCCCACTTAAGAGTGAAGTTAAATATATGATCAGAAGATTGACCATATTATTTTTAATAGCAGTTACTATTAAAACTTGGTAAATCACTTCCTATGTAATTTAGCTTTGGGTATGTCTGTAGTTTTGCCTTTATATAGCTTTATCTCTTTTTCCTTTGTTGAACCTTTGAATTGATAAGATAGATGACAGCAAAAAGTATAGTAAACTATTTGTTCATGTATATCAAAAACCTCTCAAATGTGGATAAGGTAAAAGCTGAAAATATTTTCTTACCAAATAAAAAGTGCAGTAATTCATCAAGTTATGTTGAAATATAGTTGAGCTGTATTTAAAAGATCAAATTATTTTTCTACAAGACTAGTTAATAGATGCTTTATTTTCTTAGCCTTTGTAATTTTTCAACATTGAGGAAGTATAATATATGAAAAATGCAGTCCCCCTTATCAATGTACCAAATGGATGTTGATGGACATAAACAAACATCTTGAAGGAATTTTTTAATTTCCCTAATGTTTTAAGAGTTGGATTTTTGAAAATAATTTCATACATGAAATGTGTTATCTTCATGCCAAATCCTCATCTTTTTCCAACTTTGGCATTTAAAATCACTGAGTACCAGCTCCATTTTTGGCTTTCCTGACTCTGCACTTTCCTGGTTTGGTTTTTTCCCCTGCCCTGTTGTGTATTCTTGTCAAAACTTGGTGTCTCTTACTGGGCTCTCTTCCTTTCACTTTTTAATTAATTATGGGTATCTGCTAGGAGTTCTTTATTTTTCCGTTCTCCTGCTTTCAACGAATTAGTTACACAGTCTCGTGGCCTCAACTGTTGCCTCTGTGCTCCTTTTAGAGGAAAGGTCCTGAGCTTTCTTCTTGGAAGCTTTCAGAGTATGATGACAAGGGTAAAGAGCCAGAATTCTCCTGGCTCTGCTGCTAACAAGCTGACTTGGAGCAAGTTACATTAATTCTGAGCATTGGTTTCTTTTTTTCTTCTTTTCTTTTTTTTTGAGACAGGGTCTTACTCTGTTGCCCAAGCTGAGTGCTGTGGCATGATCACTGCTCACTGCAGCCTGGACTTCTGAGCTCAAGCAGTTCTCCTGCCTCAGCCTTCTGAGTAGCTGGGAGTGCAGGCATGTACCACTATGCCCAGCTAATTTTTTTTTTTAAGAGACTGGGTCTCACTATGTTGCCTAGGCTGGTCTTGAACTCTTGGACTCAAGCAACCCTCCCTCCTTGGCCTCCCAAAATACTAGGATTACAAGCATAACCCAATTCTGAGCATTAATTTCTTTCTCTTTTTTTTGTTTTGTTTTTATACATATTCTGCTTATGTAGCATTAATTTCTTTATTGGCGAAATGAAAGAGGTAACTTCTGTTTTTCTACCTTTCTAGGTTTTGAGGCTCAAAATTAATAATACGTGGATTTTTAGTGAAAAAGCCCTAAATAAATATAAGGCATTGATAGCTCACACTATGTATTTCCACCCCAGACCTTGGCTTCAACCTCATATTATGCAACAAAATGGCATTAGGATGGCTCAACTTGGATATGCTTAAATCCAGCATGTCCAAAACCATCTCCTCCCCATTCTCAATCCTTCTTTATTTCTCAGCTTCCCAGTTTATTTTCGTGACATCTCCATCTTTATAGTTCCCAGGGGAGAAACCTTATATTCTTCTTTGATGATTTCTTCTCTTTTCCTGTAATCTCTTTTTAAGCTTGCAATTTCTTTCCAAATATCTCTGATTGCTTGCCTATCTGTATGCCTGAATATATATTCCAGAATAATCTTATTCAGTCTGTTTCCTTTTTATTAAGTGGGATGTATAAAATCAAATTTAAATACCTCTATCTGGCTTCCTATACATTCTGTAATAAGATTACACCTTCCTTAGCCAAGATTGTATCTCATTATTCTCCATCATTAATGTCATACGTCTTTAAAGTTGCCCAAATCATTCTTGTAAATTCCCTTCTCAGTGATTTTTCTCATGCCTGTCCTTATACCCCTACTCCTGTCAGATTCCTTTATATATGTTGAATCCCATTTACTCTCCGTCTGTGTGTTGCCTAAGTTTGAACTTTCAGCTAGAATTCCACCTCCTCTGTGAGGTTTTTCCCTAATATTTTGCTGTCTGCTTTCTTTGATTTCCAATTACACAATGAGCACAGAACTATTAAGTGCTGAATAATTAAGCAGTGTCTAAAAGCTTATTAGCCTTACAGTGTCAAACTAGGGTTTAACATCTGTGAGAATTGATGAGGGCAGGTGACTGACACTTGTAATCTTAGTGCTTTGGGAGGCTGAGGCTGAAGGACCACTTGAGGCCAGGAGCCCATGGTCAGCCTGGACGACATAATAAGACTTTATCTCTACAAAAAAAAGAAACAAGATTAGCTGGGCATTATGGTGCTTGCCTGTGGTCCTCAGCTACTCAGGAAGGTGAGACAGAAGGATCTCTTGAGCCTAGGAGTTAAAGGCTGTAGTGAGCTATGATCCCACCATTGCACTGCAGCCTGAGTGACAGAGTGAAACCTTGTCTTTAAAACACGAAAATGAAGGGCCAGGCACAGTGGCTCACACTTATAATCTCAACACTTTGGGAGGCCGAGGTGGGTGGATCACCCAAGTTCAGAAGTTTGAGACCATCCAGCATGATCAACGTGGTGAAACCCCATCTCTACTAAAAATACAAAAATTAGCTGGGTGTGATGGTGCATGCCTGTAATCCCAGCTACTTGGGAGGCTGAGGCAGGAGAATTGCTTGAACCTGGGAGGCACAGGTTGCAGTGAGCCAAGATCACACCATTGCACTCCAGCCTGGGCAACAAGAGCAAAACTCCATCTTAAATAAGTAAGTAAGTAAATAAATAAATAAAAATAAAGTCTGTGAGGATAGGGACAGCCTTACAAACCTACTGCAGTGGGGAAGTTAAATACTTGCTGATTGATTACTAAAACTCCAGTTAAAACTAGCAAAAATTATACATTCACCCAACCTATTTGAAGAGGGAACAATGAAAGATATGAAGAAAGAATGATGTGACTGACTTTAAAACTCTTGTTAAAACCAGTAAATTTATCCAAATGTTATGAATGAGAATGTCACCTTTTTTTGCAGTAATGGGGTGATCATATTATTTAAGAAGATAATTTGAAATAACGATGAGTCGAAGAGAAGGGACATTGGAGACAAGAAGCATTGAGAAGGCTATTTAAAAAACACATCTGGTTAAAAAAAAAAAGGGTTTAACAGAGCCAGAGTTGAAAAAGAAAGGACAAGGCTGGGCATGGTTGCTCACACCTGTAATTCCAGTACTTTGGGAGGCCGAGGCCGCAGATCACCTGAGGTCAGGAGATCACTGCGGCCGAGGCCGCAGATCACCTTGAGACCTGCCTGGCCAACATGGTGAAACCTTGTCTCTACTAAAAATACAAAAACTAGCTGGGCATGATGGCAGGTGCCTATAATCCCAGCTACTTGGGAGGCTGAAGCAGGAGAATTGCCTGAATCCGGGAGGTGGAGGTTGCAGTGAGCTGAAATTGTGCCACTGTACTCCAGCCTGGGCAACACAGTGAGACTCTGCCTCAAAAAGAAAAAGACAGGGCAAAGTATGATTTATTTTTAAATTTAGAGGACTTGGTAACCAATCAAATATGAAAAAAAACTAACAATTTTTGGTTTTTCATATTTAATTGGTCACCAAAAACCTCATATTTCTTTCCTTCTCTTTTTTCCACAGGAGGGAATTCTTTCTCTTTTTCAAGACTGATATTTCTATAGATTCTTCCAATTCAACAAGTATGACTAAATAATGATCTTTTCTAGACAAATCGTAGTTTTTTCCCTTATTTCCTATCTCATTTAGTGGCAGAATAATGAACAAAACCAGGCCGGGCACAGTGGCTTACTCCTGTAATCCCAGCACTTTGGGAGGCTGAGGTGGGTGATACACCTGAGATCAGGAGTTCAAGACCAGCCTGGCCAACATGGCGAAACCCCATCTCTACCAAAAATACAAAAATTAGCCAGGTATGGTGATATGTGCCTGTAGACCCAGCTACACAGGAAGTAGAGGTGGGAGAATTGCTTGAACCCAGAAGGCAGAGGTTGCAGTGAGCCGAGATCATGCCATTATACTCCAACCTGGGCAACAGAGTGAGACTCCGTCTCAAAAAAATAAAAAAGGAATAATGAACAAAATAAGTACTTCCTAAATCTGGAATTCTTCCATATTTTAAATAGGTTGATCAAATTTATAATTTTTACTATTTTTTAAAGAAAATATTTATACATAAACATTCTTTGATTAGAAGCTTGAGTTTCCATAAATGGAGTGGAGGGAAAAAGACAGAACATATTTATTTACAATAATAGTTTACTCACTCATCATGCTAGTTGCCTGCAAGAGAGATATATGGCTGCCAGGCGCAGTGGCTCACACCTGTAATCCCAGAACTTTGGGAGGCAGAGGTGGGTGGATCACCTGAGGTCAGGAGTTTGAGTTTTCTCCAGCCTGACCAACATGGAGAAACCCCATCGCTACTAAAATACAAAATTAGCCAGGCATGGTGACACATGCCTGTAATCCCAGCTGCTCGGGAGGTTGAGGCAAGAGAATCACGTGAACCCGGAAGGCAGAGGTTGTGGTGAGCTGAGATGGCATCATTGCTATCCAACCTGGGCAACAACAGCGAAAGTCCATCAAAAGAGACAGAGAGAGAGAGAGAGAGAGAGAGAGAGAGAGAGAGAGAGAG